AACGCTGGTAGATGAAGGCCGGCCGAGAATGCAGCAGGGCGAGGAATGAGAGAACGCTGGGAGATGAAGGCCAGCCGAGAACGCAGCAGAACAAGGGATGATGGAACGCTGGGAGATGAAGGACAGCTGAGAACGCGGCAGAACGAGGGATGATGAAAAGCTGGTAGAGAAGGCCGAGAACGAAGCAGAACGAGAGATAGTAGATCACTGGAAAATGAAGGCAAGCCGAGAACGCGGCCGGACGAGGAATGATAGAACACTGGTAGATGAAAGGGAGCCGAGAACGCAGCAGAACGAGGGATGATGGAAAGCTGGTAGAGAAGGCCAGCCAAGAACGTAGCAGAACGAGGAATGAGAGAACGCTGGTGGATGAAGGCCAGCCGAGAATGCAGCAGGACGAGGAATGAGAGAACGCTGGGAGATGAAGGCCAGCTGAGAACGCAGCAGGACGAGGGATGATAGAATGTTGGTAGAAGAGAGCCAGCTAAGAATTAGTATAGGTGGTAGGGGATATCATGCCCCCATAAGAGACAGCTGAGGTCAGAGCTGAAGCTGGAATTAGAGCCAGAGAAAGTGAGAAGAGATCGATGCCGGTAACTCGGGGCGTATGGGCAAAGACTTGAGTAAGAGGGAGCGGCAATAGAGCGATAAGAGCTTATGGGAAAAGCTAGCTGAAGTGATGGAGAGGCTAAAGAGGTTTTAGCTAAAGGAAAGAGGCCGGCTGAGCGATACTTAAGATGACGAGAAGAGGATACAAAAGCAACTGCCTAGAAAGAGGGAAGATGGTTGCCTGCTACTGGACATGAGGTAATAGGGCTGGGATTAGACGCACGAGGTTACGGATAGAGTAGGTGGGCGGGAGAAGAGACCGTTCTGGAATGGGCCCAACAAGAAGGGTGTGAAGAACGAAAGGGGGAAATAAAATATATATAAATGAAACATGTATAACATTGGCAGGTGAGAGCATGCATTTGCATGAGGTTGACCAACCACCACCAGTAATGCGCAGTGCTTTAAAAGGCACTGAGAGAAGTAACGACTGGTTAAACATGATCCAGAGGGCTTAGGGACGACAGATAGATTCTAACTTCGATGTGCAGGAAGGAGGGGCTTGGCACAACAGGAACCGAAAAAAAAAAAAAAAAAAAATATATATATATATACATGAAAGCTAAGGCTAGAATAGGTGAGAATGGGAACTGAAAAATAGGGAATACCATTACGATGCATGACAAGGGGCTGAGATGGAAGTAGATGGTGTAGGCTAGAGTTGGAATGGACTGAACAAAGAGAAGTACCTTAGCGGCAAGACGTTGAAACAATTAGGGCCGCAACTGTGGAGAAGATGAGTTGATCGATGCCATTTTGTGACATGGGGTGGATGAGGAGATTTGGCACAATGGTTCAGGCATGACAGTTTGATGGAGAGAGACGATGAGGGATGCTTGTAGAAATTATCTCTTGGGAAAGCAGGTTACAGGAGTGGAAAAGATGTAAATACTGAGCAAGCTACAGAATAAGCTGCGGAAACCAGGAAATGAAATATCACTTCCGTCTCTTCTGCTTGCTGCGATTAAGAGTTTGTGCACGGGGGAGCAACAGAGGTCCGGTGTGGGGGCTATAAGTTCAAAGTAATCTATGAGGCTTGACGACGGAAGGAAACGGGGCTACTACGGAGTGGGGACGCTGTGGAATTAGGTGATCCACCTGGCTCTCGCTAGGCGTGATGCTACTATTATTGGGCTGTTTAAGCGTTCATACAGGCAAAAGTCCTAAAGCATCAAAACGCAGCCAGGGTGGCACATACGAATAAAACCCGCTAGATCGGGAAGGGATGGATTAAATGGACGATTCGCGTTCTTAGCATTTCAAAACATGAGAAGATACGTCTCACCCCGGAAGCCCGAGGAGGGCGCGGCATGATGACTCCGATGGGAGCGGCTGGTGTGCGGCTGATGAGTGGCTGGGAGCAGCTGATGAGCGGCTGGGGGGCGGCTGGTGTGCGGCTGATGAGCGGCTGGTGTGCGGCTGGGGGGCGGCTGGTGTGCGGCTGATGAGCGGCTGGTGTGCGGCTGATGAGCGGCTGATGAGCGGCTGGGGGGCGGCTGGTGTGCGGCTGATGAGCGGCTGGGGGGCGGCTGGTGTGCGGCTGATGAGCGGCTGGGGGGCGGCTGGTGTGCGGCTGATGAGCGGCTGGTGTGCGGCTGGGAGCGGCTGATGAGCGGCTGGTGTGCGGCTGGGAGCGGCTGATGTGCGACTGATGAGCGCAGACTCGGGAGCGTCTGATGGGGAAGGAAGGGTTGAGGACACGGCAAAGCAGCTGTACGCAAGGAATCACCAAGAAAGGGATCCGCTGGGATGGTTTGCTGGGAAGCTGGGACGTGCGACTGAACGTGTTGAGCGCAGCGAAACGGGGGGCACTTTGGATGGACGTCCTTATGAACTGAGGCGTGGTCGGTGATTGGCTGCGACATGGCTAAGTCTAGCGATGATAGGTCGTCAGTGATTAGCGGGAAGCGCCTACTGAAAGCTGCGGGTGGGGCTAAAGAGTCTTCCAGATTGAATTTACGCCTAGGCTTCATTTGTGCTGAGGGAGTTTTAGTTGAAGACAGTTTTTTTTTTTGTTTTTTTTTTTTTAATGTCACTGAATAAATGCGCTGAAATTACAGCTACTGCAAAGAGACATTTGAAAGTATAATGTTTCTCTCTCACTTATTGAGGAGGAGACCTGATCTGGCTCTTCACAAGTGAAACAGTGATGGAGAGAAATGTTTCAAATGACAGGAGCAATGCTGCCTGGTAACACAGATCAGAGCTCTTGAACTTTTTTCACACTTTGTTGCATTTCAACCACAGGTGTTACTGTACCTTTTACTTTATGCGGTAGACTGACAGAAAGTACTTCATCGCGGAGAACTGGAAGGAAAGTGATGTGTGGTTTTGACAAAAACACGTCCAGGCATTTATTCAAGAAGACCAGAGATTGTAAATTACGCTGAGTTTTTGTCGTGCTGTTAAATTTATAGATGGTATTGTGAGTCAGGGCTCTTTGAATCACTGTAATTAATTTCAGAGAGCTGGTTGATTAGTTTGTCTGATGAGCTCAATTAAAGGAAATCTACTTCAGAAGGATGTTCCACATTATTTAACAGGCCACAGGTTTCAAGCAAAATGGGAAAAAGAAAACATCTCTCTGCTGACGAACATCATCAGATAGTGTGGAGCCGTATGACAAGATATGAAAACATTAGATATTTAATGAAAACTGAAGCGTTATCGTACTGTGAAGAGATTTGCGGCTGATTCAGAGCAAAGATGGGTTTGTACAGATAAAGGCATAACGAGGAAGGTTTCTGTTAGACAAATTCATCAGATTACGAAAGAAGCTGTTAAAATGTTCTTACAAAGCAGCAAACAGTTACTTGAAGCTGCTGGTGCCTCTAGAACCTCAAGGTGGAGGATCCTCCAGATGCCTGCGGTGCATGAACCGACTATTGGACCCCAAACCAGTTCACAAGCAGAAACCGTGGCAGTGGTCCCAGCTGTACATGAAGATTAAAGTTCAAACAGACTTGTCCGCTGATGACTGCTGTGCAACCCTGGATGGTCCAGATGGACACAGTAGTGGATTGGTGGTGGATGGCCATCACATCCCAACATGGCTGTGGTGAAGTCATTCTTTGAAATCATGGGGAGAGAATCATTGGTCGGCCCCTTCAGAGTCCATGAAGGTGTGAAAATGACCTCAGCAAAGTATATGAACTTTCTTTCATGGTTCAAAAATAAGAGCCGTACCTTCAGTAGCAAAATCATCTTCATGCATGACGATGCATCATCTCATGCTGCAAGGAATATCACTGTGTCATTGGCTGCTGTGGGGATAAAAGGGGAGAAACTCATGGTGGAGTCACTATCCTCCTCTGACCTCTGACCCTATTGAGAACCTTTGGAGTATCAGAAGATCTGAGGGTGGGCTGCAGTTCATATCAAACAGCAGCTCTGGGAAGGTTTTCTGACGTCCTGCAAAGAAATTCAAGCTGAAACTTTCCACAAACTCACAAGTTTAATGGTTGCAAGAATTGTGCAGGTGATGTCAAAGAAGGGGTCTTATGTTAACATGTAACTCTGTCTGTTGAGATGTTTCTGATTGAAATAGATTTTGATTTTACTGCATGTGACCACTTATTGCTGCACATCCACAGAATGACCGTTTGCAGTTCTTTATAATCCATAAAATGTTTAGAAAATCTGCTGTGCACAATAATTTGGAACAGAGCATTTTGAGTTTTTTATTTTTGAAAAAAAAAATATATACTGTTCTCATGGGGAGCTTTGTACAGGAAAATTTGATTTACAGTGTAATAATTTATGACTTGAAAATTATACTGACCATTATTTTCATTGACCATTTAAGAAAATCTGAGGAAATATCACTTGCATAATAATTTTTGATACCAAAAATGCTTTAATTATTTTTTTATTTTCTAGATTAAATAGCAAACAGAACCTTTTCGCTTTCTCAACATGGCGTACTGTGTGCAGGGCTTTGAGGGGAGAACTCTTGTTCATTTGTTTTTGGTGTTCTGGAGGCTCTAACGCAACGTGGAGAAAGTGAAGCGCTCGCTGTGAATTGCTCCCAGCTGCGCTGACGATGTTTGCATGGATCAGATCCTCAGGAAATGTTTCCCTGCTGTCAAACCAACACAGCAAACAGGAATCAACACGCGTTTCCTTTTCTCTCAGAGTATATTGACGTTTATTTATTTATTTATTTTTTTATTTCAACAAAAGCACATTTAGACGAGCTGAAAATGAAAACGCTCTCCTAAGTGTTTACATAAATACGATTAACTGCTCATATCCGTTTTCTGAAGCTCTATGGTGTGGGTCAAAGGTTAAATCTGTGGGATAAATTATTTATGAACTGCAGCTTTCTGAATGGAACCAGCTGCAGTAGAGGGTTTGTATCTAGTTTGATTTCTCCCTTGTCTTCCTGTCAGTTGTGCTAAAGCTCATAGCCGTGGACAGAGGCGTCGTCGTCATCCGGGGAGTGGCGGCAGAGCGATATCTGGCCATGAGCGGCGAAGGCCGTCTGTACGGCTCAGTGAGTATCCGCAGCGACTTGTTGACGTTCTGCTCAGCTTCACGCGTCATTCCTTCGGCCTTTTGTCTCCCGTCAGTCCACAGTGACCGATGAGTGCCACTTCCTGGAGATCCTGGAGGAGAACTACTACAACACGTACAGGTCTCAGAAATACCAGGACGCCAGCTGGTACGTCGGCCTGAAGAAGAACGGCAGAACCAAACTCGGCCCGAGAACCCACATCGGACAGAAGGCCATCTTCTTCATCCCCAGGCAGCTGGAGGATTCCTGGGATTAGAGGGATGTGAGGAATGTCGAGCTCTGATGCATGAGAAGTTTACCTCTAGTTTTATCTTCTGTATAAATGAAGCTGCATCCTTCCTATCAACTAACCCGTCCGAGCGACCTTCACTTAGCAGCTATTTAACTCAGCTCATCGAAACACAATCCTGATTTCACCACAATTTGAATATTGGATAAGGCCAATTATAAGTGGACTTTAAGAAGTGTTTTATTTTGTCTGAGCATAGAAGAGGAAGCATACTAGTCTAATATGCTCAGAGGGAAGGAAGACTGCTGACTTGGCAATTATCCAGCAGAAAGTCTTAGACCCCCTCCACAAGGGCATAAACTACAAAACATACTTACAAATTAAGCAGGCTGTTCGTTTTGGAGGAAAGTTAAGTGGAAGGAAAAAGTGTGGGAGAAAAAAAAAAAGAAGAAAATTAGGAATAACCAAAGCCTTTCAAGAGTGCAGAGATACAGAAGATGTGAGTCAGTGCCTCAAGAGCCATCAGAACCGAGACATAAAAGACAACCACATCGGTCCTTAGCACCGCAGCACATAAAAGATCTGCTGTTGTTGCACCAACCTTCCAGCCCACTCAGGTCTTCTGGTTCTGGATCCCCAGAAAACATGAATCTCTAAACACGGAGCTTCTATGCACCAGAAATCTAGAACAAACTTCCTGAAAATTGTAAAACAGCCGAGTTCCTTTAAATCTAGACTAGAAACCGACCTGTTCAGAGTTGCTTTTGCACCATAATTAGTGAAACACTAACCAACATAATCAAACAACACTTGGGAAAAAAAATTACTGTTTCAAATGTTGATTTTTGTGTTTTTATGATGTAAAGCACGTTGAACTGCCTTATTGCTGAAATGTGCTGTAGAAGTAAAATTTGATTAATTCTGTTGAGCAACTTCTGAAGCAGAAAATGCTCTTTATGATATTTTGATTTACAACACATGCAAGCTGATAGTCAGAGCCTATAGAAACTAATACTTGAATTTTATCCATGTGCAATAAATGTATGAAACATATAAATGTCCCTTGTTGTATTTAATGAAATGAATCAGCTGGTTCTATTCTGGTTCTGAAAGATGTGCCTGTATGTGGAAAGGAAGAACCAGAGAAACTTCATCACTAACCAGGTTCCAAGCACTCTGCTGACTTTCCTGTGAATTTATGAGTAAGAACCAGAACTCTGACGTTTACAGGTATATAAAACTATTCTTGTAAATTCAAAGTGTTGTAGGTTCGGTGATTTAGTGACATTTAAGTTTCTGCTGATAAAAAAAACTCCATAGAGCTTCATGTCTTTCTTGACTTGAAGCTTTATACTTTAAGAGTTGTATCAATAGGTGGGCGAAAATTAGAAAAATAAAAACAGACGACACAAAAGACCCATTGAAAGTGACATTTATTTAACGCTACATGATTTCTGTACAGTTACATTAACAACAGAACCCCAAAGTTTAGCTCTACGCCACATAGAAACAAGCATAACTGGTGTGTAATCAAAGCTATGGCAGAAGTATGAAGTTAATGATTTAAATTGTTCAGTGTGAACTGGGAATAACATCATCTGGGTTTCACCGCTAACACTTCTAGAAGTGCAGCTGAAAAGCAACGTTCTTGCTTTAATTGATACCAACTTCTAACACTGTGCAAAGAAAGTTAAGAGGGAAAAAAAAACCCACATCTGTCAATTAAATCTTAAGGCAAAAATCCCACCTGGAGGAGGAATTTCAGCTATTTTTGTGCTCATTATTGTGATGCAGCTGTTCAAACTGGATCATTAACAGCTGAAATCCACACAGCTTTTTTTTTTTTTCTTTAAATCTCTGAGCTTTTCCTGCAGCAGATTCTCCCTGACTCACAGTGGAGTCATCGGCAGGTCAGACTGCAGCGTTCAAATGAGACCTTCTCAGACAAACACCAAAATTCAGCAGCGTCACTGCAGCAGCTCAGAGATTCAGACGCTTGTCTGGGTGAAATGAAAACAAGACGCTGGGTTTCTTTCAAGAGCATCTCGGTACGTTGAATTCTTCTTCCAGGTTTGGATTGTTTCGCCTGATTTAACCCGCGGTAATTATTAAAAGAAACCTCTGACAAGCAGAGGTCAACCTGGTATGTTCGAATAGCAAATTACAAGCAGGCTCTCTTGTTTGTCCCGTCTGGACATGTGCAGACATCGCTGCCCCCTAGTGGTTGAAGAAGGAACAGCACAGCTTAAGGCCAATAGCTGATTGAAGTACAAACGTCTAATTGGATATTAGATCGATGAAGCAAATGTTACAAAGTGTTGCTGCATGCTGTGGTCAATCTACAGTGTTGCGCGAATTAGAAAACCCGTTGGCCAACATGAGCCTGGCTCTAATTAATAACCTGGCAGCAGATGCATGCTCTTATGCTACCATCAAATCCGATAAGGCAATACTCTTACATTACAACAGATGTAAATAGCACTTAACATTAGCCACTAATGAACAGCTAAAGGAACTATTACTGCTTACCATGTTCCATTAATGAAATGTCTAAACAAAAGAAAAACACATGTTTTATATATTTCCTGAATATGTTACCATCTTGAGGTCGTCTTCGTCTAGAATTCGTCTGGCTGATTTCCGGTGAAGTCTCTTCATGCGACTCTCGAACATTGTTCCGCTTCATCTGCTTGACATGAAGAGAAGAAGGCCGGACAAAGATCAGAGATCTGTTTCTTACAGATGTGTACTGGAGAAAAACTGGACTTTGGACGATGGAGAGCTAATCCATAGACCTGAAAGAGTATAAGAGTGGAAAAACTGCAAACAGACGGACTTATAACAATCATGGCACCAAAGACTTTATAGAGAAGAAAATGACAGAAACTTTCAGTGTTTAAAGTGATGCTCCTGCCATAAAAAAGTATTTATTCTCAGTTTTTTTTTAACACATTTACCAGGTGTGCCTGTAACTTTAGCAACCAGAGTAAACCATCATCTCAGCGAGGCTAAATCCACTCACCTCTAATAGATGAAAAGCACTCTTGTTCTGGGCAGGTTGGCGTAAGCGGGATCTACCAGTTTGCGCACTCTGGAGTAGTTAACGAAGCCTCTGATGAACAGCATGAAACCTGAAATCCACAAATGATGACGTAACAGACGATCTCAAAAATATCATCATAAATGAGACAAATAAAGTTTGTTTTAACTAGAAAGAAAACACTTTTATGAATGCAAAAGCCCTCTCACTCACCCAGAGCCAGAAACACCCACCACAACCAGTACTGTCCGTCAAAGTATCCGGGGAAATAAGTGGAAAACTAGGACCAGAAAGAGATGCGGTGTAAGGAGCTGCACAAGTGACGATGAGACTCCTTCCTGCTGAGCGTAGAGACGGAAACGCGCTCTCACCCTGACGATGAGAACCCATTTGATGAGGGACAGGCCGAAGCCGGAAATGGCTCCGTATCGACCGGCCGCTGACGTGGTCAAACAGAACGACAGAAAGAAGCCGATCCAGTTGAAGAGGAATGCCACTGGGGACAGAAAAATGTTCCAAATGACGTCAAGCAGGAGAAATGTTTGTCCATGTGTTTGAAAACAGACAGGAATGAACGAGGAATGTCATACGGTGTTGTGGTGAAAACGAAAAAAGGGCTTTTAAAATATAACTGACGAAATCTGGAATGATGCACACTTGCTAAAGAAAACAAAACTAATTAACGTTGAGTGATTATAAGGTTCCTACTTTATGTTTGGAGGTTTAGCATGTTAAACTTAACACTGCAATCATACAATGTTCCAGATGTACATACAGCGAAAACATATTTGTTCTCTTGCAGATTTTTCCTCATCAAATCAATTTTAACACATAACATAAATAAATACAACATGCTGACTTCAAATAAAGACTTTGTTCATTAAGTAGAACAAAGTCACCCAAAAAACAGTAAAAATCAGACTCAGAAACATCACAAAGCTCAAAGCACTTAAAGACTTAAAACTGTTCCTATCCAGATCTCTGATCATCGGTCCATTTCTGTCAAAAACATCCCATATGTATTCCGTCAGAACCGACCTGCTCTAGATGTAAAATGTCTCCTCTCTCTACACCGGTTTGCCAGCAAACACTGAAAATGTCTTACTGAAGAAAGTGAGCATGAAGATGCCGTCGTTTCCTATCCGCAGCTGGTCGGCGTCTTCGAAGTCGTCTCTGGCCACGAAGTCGTCTTCCTGCAACGACAGCAGGACACGCGTTCCAATGACTCCTGCTTACCTCTGCTGCCTCCTAACACGGCAGAGAGGAGAGGAGAGGAGACGTACCGAGACCCTTCCAGTGACCAGGGGGACGGCGGCCTCGGCTTTGCTTCGCTCGGCCTCGTCGTAGGAGGGCAAAGTGGTGGCAACGTTGTACGACGGAGGGTTGGGAAATCTCCCTCCTTCTTCCTTGTACTCAAAGAACGCTGCGGACGAAACGAGTGAAGAGGGTTTTTGATCAGCCTGATGCTTACAGGAAGAGAAAAAACATTAAATTTGCTATGTAATTTTTTTTTTTTTTGTTGCTTTCTGCAATTTCTGCCTGTTATGATGAATTTTTACCCCAAAATAAATAAAAACACCTTTAAAGGAAAAAAAAGGGTTAGGGTTGAAATTTATTTCCCCTTTTGTCAACATTAATATGTTAATATTTTAATGTCTCTTTTGCAGCAGGAACAATTCCTGTAAGAAGGAAATTATTTTTGAGGGCTGGATCAGTTCACATGGATTCAGCAATGATAAGATATATTCAATTGAATTAATATCATGTTTCATTAGCCTCATTAAATATTAATCAGTTTTATCTTTGGGGACAAATAATACATCAGCTGAAATAATTCCTTGCTAATCAGGGATATAGTTATCATTTTTTTAATCAATCAAATAATTAAAATAAATAACTGAGGGACTCGACATCGCTATGCAGCGACAGATGAAAAGCAACCTGTTGGCTAATTCTGGTAGACCTTTTTGTACATTGTCCTAGTTCAGAAACACATAATAAGCATAGTAATAAATACAATTCCTAGAGAAATGTCACTGACTAAATAAACATTTAAAATATGGTTTAAGCTGTTTTCTGCTGCCTCAGAAATGAAATTCTCATGGCATATTTTAGAGGTATGTCTAACTTTACTTTTTTTTTTTTTTTTTTTGCCTAGCACTTAATTTTGATCTGAGAGAAAAGTGCAGAAAAATAAAAGGCCAGTAACCACTGGGGGTGTCAGCTTCTCGCAGACCCGGCCTGATACCAGACCAGGTCCGGTGAGCGTCTAGTTTCTGTCTGATGGCTGCTGGCTGTCTTGGAAACGACTCGCTTCTCCTCTTGGATTATGATCCATTCTTGGCTGTTAGTTGATCTTCCCAGTCTGTCTTCCAATGGAGACCAGCTGTGCACTCTTGCTAAATATCTTATTTTTAAGTACTTCAGGTGGTTTATAGAAGCACAAATTAGAAATGACTAATCCTTCAGTGTTAAACTGCTATATGTACTGTCAGAGGCTGGTACTTTTTAATAATAAGTACCAGGCAAATAAATCTTGAATCTCTTGCAGACCATAAGCATGAGGAGAACTTTGTATATCAGCGCTAACATGCTGAAGGTTTAGGAACATCATATTTTGGATAGGAAGTTAATTTGACAAGATTTAAGGTCACGGTAAAGATATTTTCAAACTAGCGGTGAAATGTGTGTGAAAGCTCAGACCTGAGGTGCCATGCACTACATACACTAACAGTCTGAATGGCAATATAAAATGATTTAAATCTAAATCTGCTTTTGGGGACAAACGAAAGCCAAGAACTACTGATTACCCCTGTGGTTAAGGATTGGCTGCTGACACGCGCAGAAATCTTCTCTCACTTCTCTCTGAAAGCGAAAGCAGCAGCTGAGAATTCCTAACCCTGACGCGGTGGAATGAGTTACGGCAGGAAGAACGGCATTAGAGGCAGACACGTCCATTAATGCTCATGCTCTCCCCATAAAAGCCAAGACTTTTATCTGGGTCGTCTGGCTCTCATCCAGGAGTGCTCCTTTCAAATACCGAGTAACAGTTCAGATCAATGAACTCATCCAAGAAGAGCTGCAGGCTGCGCCCACTTACGCAACACACTGGTTGACCTATAACCTCTATAGATGCAAGATTAGAAACATGACACTGGCTCCACTCAGCCTACCCATCCTTAGATAATACATAATCTAGGGTCAAGAAGAACGTTCACAGTTATTTTCCATTCATATGCACTTATTATAGCAGTATTATTTACTAACTTTATGGAATACATTTTACTTAAACTATTGATTTCTGGTCACAGAACGGCTTCAGTAAAATATTCTTGACTTCCAGATGTAGTTGGGTTTTATGCCCTTTGTGAGAATAATTGCACGTTAGAAAAAGATTCATTTGCTGTTTAATGCTGTTTGCTATTAAAGACACTTTCACTTTTAGATGGCGAGTTGTCATACAGTGGTGTCAACAGCACTGAGTCAATAAAAAAGGGTGTTGCCTGACAGGTGGAGGTGAAGCAGAGACTTTCTTAACCTGCATTAGCTGCAGCGATGCTGCTGTAGGGAGGTGGTGCATCCTGTCCAGAGCTCTCCTGGGAGGCCTGGACGGGCTCCTCCTCATTTACCAGCTGTTGAAATAAAAGCACACAACAATATAGCTTTTCATGCTGAATGAAAAACAATTATATAGAAATTCTGAGAGAACACATCTTCACTATTGGTGCCTGTAATGTGATATTTAATGTAAATAGGATTATTTATTATACTGAACACTGTAGCTATCCAGAGAAGATATGTTCACTTTAAGCAGCAAAGGACAAATGTTTGTTTATTAGTCAGGATCACTTTCTGGTTCCTTCATCTTGAGGAAAAATTGCAAAACAAAAAGCAATTTAAACTTGAAACACTTTCTCTTAAAAGGATACCTTTACCAAAAACAAATGCACACTCATCACTATTCTTATTTAATATACCAAATAGTGTGGAGCTATATGGACTGAAAATTTGATAGCAATAACGTGTGGTGTTTATTGTAATTGTTAAAACTGCATTAGCAAGAATTTTCAGCAACGGGCTGGTTGTGAATGCAAATAAAATACATTAAAAAATATATCTCAACACTGCTGTTAAGTTGAGGTGGTGGCAGATATCTTCAAGTCGAGTTTGATGTCATAATTCATCTGATTAATGCATGACTCATGTTTTTTTTTCCTCTCAATGTTTACCCAACCAGAAAAGTCTATTCCATCACAACTATTTACTTAAGCACTTAATACATAACATTAGTTCGGTGCTATTGAATGACATACGTTATCGATGAGGATCCTAAAGTAAAGGTATTAATATTAACTTACAGAATTGTGAGGGCTCTCTCAGACAAAATTACTGGGTGTTATTGTTTACATTCTGATATTTTGCATAATATGCAAGTGCTCTCTGCTGGCCACAAGGCATAGATCGTTTATGCCTCAGGCCGGCCGATTTTTACAGCAAACACGCAGTACGCAACTCCACAGGATGCAACGTATTCTTTGCATTACAGTTTCTCTAAAACAGGATTCGCATTGACATGTATTTAGATCTAAAACGGCTAACTCCTTCTAGACTTACAACCTCTACATTTTAGTGATAACTTTTTATATTCTGATTAGCTTTACTGTCGCATTTCTACACCACTGCCATGAGGTTTTCCTGAAGTCAACGTTACAATCAGGTCTGCACTAGTTTTCAGGCCAGCTAACGTTCTAACGGATTAGCTTAAAACAAACACGCTACCTTTACTTGGCCGTAACAGTCACATTACGGCCATTTTACCCAGTCAGACCCGAGTCTAAGTGGGTGTAGTTTTGTTTAAAACGCATATAAATTATTTTTCCGTCACATGGGGCCTCCGCCCGTAAACAAACGCTCGGTCGCTTGAGCTCCTTGTTTCGCTTACTGACAGCTAGCTGTTAGCAGGGTTTCAGCGAGCCAACAACCTGTTACCTACCTCCTGATATCTGACGTTGCTGTTTGGTTCTGCCATCCTGGAAGAGGAGCTAAATGTTTTCAACGTCCCCCTCCGGTTTCAGAGTGTGAAAAAAATGAGCTTGAATGAAACGAATCTTGCTGACAAAGAAGGAGAAGTATGATATTTCCTTCTACTAGTCGGCCATCTCCTTCCTTCTTCCTCTGAGCCGAAATCAGGTTTGAAGATGCGTTCAAGGGCTGTCGGGAATTGTAGTTCTCCACATCTCCCTAAAATTCTATTCTTAATTATTATAGAATAAAGCTAAATGGCATTAAAGAGATACACAGATGTTTGTAAACAAAAAAGTACGATATAATGTTCTTGTAAATAAAAAACCTAACTCAACAGCGAACTTGCATTTTGAGCAAATTAAGCAACTTCCACACAAATATGGACGAGGAGCACCGAAAGGCATCATTCAGTCATGTGATCTAAGTGGAGCTGGGAAAAACCAACCAAGCCACACGAGGCATATAAATCACGCATTTTATTACAAAGAACTAAAATGACACGAGGCCGACAACCATTTGAAACCGGACAGTCTGCACTGCGCCATTAAAAGTTCACCATCATCTCAAGCTGGAGTTCAAATTGTAAGGAATGATTGGAGTGTATTTTTGTGATATTTTGTCCCATTTTAGAGGCATCTTCACTTCTGTTGGGATGGAAGTGCTTCCACCAGCCTGTTGTGCACATGCATCATCCCTGAAAAAAAAAACAAGCAAAATTCAGCAGATTTTGTGATAAAATCTTTGAAAACCTTTAGTAACATTACAACTAAAATCTGTATTTTCTGGAATTTTACATGATAGACCAACACACTATCTAAAGTTCATCCAGTGAGTCTCTTTTTTTTTCAATGCAACCAATTTCATAATACAAACTGTTAATGCATGACAAGCGAAATATGCAACATGGTTTTGGCGTACCTTTGAAGTACTTGACGGTCTTAACCCGCAGCTCCAAGGTGGCATCTTCGTCACATACGAAAACAGTCTGCGGATGCTGCTGGAAGGCCGACACTGTCCACATGTGATTGACGCCTTCTTCTATTGCTTTGTACAAAGCAAAGGCTTTGTGTGCTCCAGTGATAAGGATCATGACCTGACCAGAAAGAAAATGTGACGCAGAAGCCACAGAATTCAGCCGCTGATCACCAGGAAGACCCCAAACACCACGACGAATATATGTTGTTGAAATTAGCTCTTAACCTCTTTTGCATCCATGACGGTGCCCACTCCCACCGTCAAGGCCATGGTGGGAACTTTAGAGAGATCTCCATCAAAGAAGCGAGCGTTGGCCATGATTGTGTCCTTTGCTAGCGTTTTCACTCTGGTCCTGGAAACCAAACTTGACCCAGGCTCATTAAAGGCAATGTGGCCATCAGGTCCAATCCCTGAAACAAAATGTCAGGATTTATCTTAGCTTCATCTGTCTTCAACTGCAACACCATTAAACAAGGGATTAACCAACCAAGGCTGACCTCCAACAAACAACTCGATCCCTCCGGCCTCTTTTATCTTTTTCTCAAAGGAGTCGCACTCCGCTTGAAGGTCAGCTGCATTTCCATCAAGAATGTGGGCGTTTTCCGCTCTTATGTTGATGTGCTTGAAGAAGTTGTTCCACATGAAGGAGTGATAGCTCTCAGGGTGATTTCTGGGAAGACCTGCAATGTGGGTTCGTGCAAACGTCCTCAACAAAAAAAAAATCACACAAAGAAGTCCTGGAAGCTGAGGCAAACGGAGATCAGCACTTACCAACATATTCGTCCATGTTGAAGGTTTTCACAAACTCGAAGGAGATTTCTCCATTTTTGTAGTATTCGATCAGCTTCTTGTAACATCCTAAAGGAGTGCTTCCTGAGGAGAGGCGAGGAAAGGAGAGAATTTATTAAATTGATAATGAAAAGCAAAAAAAGGAAGTCCATAACTGTCCCTCTCTTGGACCATGGGAGGAGGTTTAATAATTTCTTCCTTTCTCCTTCTACCACCAAAATTTCCCAATAAAACCCAACAAGTTTGTGGTTAATAAAAATTTAGAAAAATTAGCGCAGTATGAATATACTAGTGAGGCTGAACAGCAGAGCGCATCTGGTTTAGATTTAATGGTTTCAAAACAGTGAACAAGGAAAATCACATCTCCTTTTAATATAATAGCCACAACATTAATCTCTGAGTGTTACTGTATGACCCTATCCAATACAAAACATGTGCTTTGATATATTTTTTTAATTATTGCTTTAACCTACATATTTTCAGTGCTGCCGAACTGTCTTTGTTTCACCCCGTCTTACTGAAACCATCTTATAAGTGGATGTTAAATGGATATTTTGCCCAATGGAAAATACAAATTACAGCGAATTTCTTTTCTTCTTGTTTTTGTTTTTGCCATCTAAGCATTTTGATAAAGAAAAACTAAATCCCTTCATCTGACTGAGTCAGCGGATGTGTGTTGGTTAAAAAAAAGAAGGCAACTACAGCACCCTGGCTGATTCAGTGCTTCATATCAGGATTTTTTTTTAATAAGGACACAAAAAAAGGCCAGAACATGGACGCTTTCTGTTCCCTCTCACCTGTGGGGAGTCCTAATGTGAAGAACTTGTCGGGTCCGGGTTGGAAGTGCAAAATCTTGTTTCTGATGTACTTTGCAGCCCACTCGCTTGCCTGGTCGTAGTCATTCAGGATGATCAGCTTCATCGTTCCTGCAGGAGAAAACAACGACAATATCGAAAACAGCTCTGCAAACACTCCTAAATCTTTAGACTTTAGACTCATCAGGATTTCCCCCTCATTCGGCAGCACTGCTTCATTTATCACCGTGTGTCTCTTTAAGAGTGTGTGTGTGCGTGTGTGTGTGTGCGACGCGACGACCCTATCGCACTCCTTTGCTCAGATCTGTGATAACTTTCAGACATACATTAGTTATTAGTTAAAATAGTCCACATTACCAGCGTCTTCAGCTGTCAGTCGGAACAGCAGCAGCGGGTCACATGACCTCGTCGGCGCTGCCCGCCCCCAAACCAGCAGCCTCTTAAAGCTGAAGCGTCGTGATTTGAACAAGTGTCACTTCTTCTTTTTTTCTTCTTTTTTTGTGTGGCACTTTTATAAAATGATTTGAATGATTGTGTAAAACGGACCAAAAGCCAGCCTCTCTCTCCAAACAGCGCTTTATCTATGAGCCCCGGGATCCAGTGAGGAAGCTTTGCGTCACAGACTTTCTTCTTGTTAAAAGAAGCTGAGCCTCAAGTCAGACTGGATGGAGAGCATCTGTGACAATCAGTTTTCAAGTCTGTGCTTTGATTCAAATCCTTCCGTTTTATCTCTGCATGGATGATTGTGGTCATCGTCCTACTGGAGAGTGAAGCTCCAGCCCAGTGTCAGATCCTTTACAGCCTCCTAACAAAAAGGGAAAGAAGGTTTTCTCCTTCTTTTCCAACTCTGACCAGTTTTTTGTTGTTTTTTCTAAGTCTTTCCACTGCATGATTCTCACCATGCTTCACTGTGGCGAGGATTATTCAATGGTGATGTTTCTTTAGTCTGATTTTAGTGTTATATGAATAATTTTCCTTTTTGTCCTTTGAAATAAAAAAAAAATTACACAAAATGTATGTCTGTTTGATTGCATAACTTTTAAATATTAAATGACTATCAAAAACTTTATTTTTGAGTAATTTCTTCAATGGCTAGTTTTTACATTTGAGTGGAGCTATGATGAGTACAAATGTTTGGGTGCAGTATCCACTTCTGGGTGCAAAGACCATTTGCAGTAAATGTATTAGTTCACGTTCATATTCTTTCATCTTTAGCTTGGTCTTGATGTTTATTAGAGTGCACCTGATGTTCATCATACATTGTCAGATTAAAGATGCCACACCGACATGCAGTTCTCAACAGAAACAATAATTATCTTTGCATCAAGCAAAATCAGAACATTTTTCTGTCTTAAGCACGACAGGGCTACTGTTGGGAGAGATTTTCAACCACTTTATTAAAACCAGGTTGTGACACAGACCAGAACAGTTACAGAGCACACAACAGAAATAAATACCATCATGTGTACAGCGCTCATTGTCAAACAGAGTAATTTTGCAGCTGGCTTTTGATTTAGGTCATCCAGAAGAAGAGAGGGCATGCTATGTCAGATAGATGTGCCACCATGAGCTGGGCTCGGTGTGCTCACCGCCCTGCCTGCTTTTTCACTGTCCAAGTGCAGTTCCTGAAACACGTCACCAGCTCTGATAAACGCCGCCAGGCCGCATCTCAGTCTGACTCAACCGGCCCCTGTACAGCGTAGCTTCAGGAGGCGTTTGGGTTGTTCTAGTCGAGGTCCATGTCGGGCTTGGTCTCTGTAGGTTCTGAGGTTGGGTTGCCTGTGTTCTCAGCTGCTCCCTTGTCTGTAGTTTCCTCCTGGGCCTTCTCCTGGCCGTCGACTGGACCGTTCTGCTCTGCAGGTGCTTCCTCCTTGGGGACCTCCACCTTTGGTTTGGGCTTCGTCACAACCGGGTTACAAGCAGAGAACAGCTCCTAAACACCAAGAGAAGGGTGTTAGAGAGAGGATGGATTCTCACATGAATATAATAAAGGGCACAGCAAAGACTCACCCTTGTTTTTGCTTTAATGTCTTTCACTTTAACAGTGGGATCTACAGCTAGGCTCTGCTTGCTTTGCTGGTTCATGGTGCTGTTCATCCAGATCATTGCATCGTTGTTCAGTTTGTCCACTTTGGTGACGTCTGCCTCATCTAAATGGTCGTACTGCTCATCCTGGAAGGACAAAACAAGAATGAAGATACTCACTGGTGTATAATCAGTCTCCAAATAATTAGAGCCGTCACTATTCATTATAATCATTCATACTTGCTGTAAACATCTGCAAATTTAAATGTCACATTCATAAAATGTATCTTTTTCTATGTATTCATATTCTTCTAAAAGTAAAGCCTGTTTTCCTTCAGATTTTTTTGTAGCGGCTCTCAATGTGTGGCCTTATGTGAGAAACAGTTTCCAAACAAACCTGTCAGACAAACGTGCAATTTGTTAAGTTTTTTGTGTACTACAGCAACAAGAGCGAGACATAATAAGCAGAAAAGACGACATCCAGGAGCTACTGATGAGGCAACAGAAACAGCAAAATCAGAAAAAGATTTCTTAAGCTCCTAACTGCTCAGAAGGAA